TTAACATCCCCCCCCACCCCAACCCCTGCGTGGCAAGTAGCATCAACAACGAGAGCAAGTCAAATGAGAAGCAAGTCAAATGGAACGTTAACATCCGTTCCCCACCCCACCCCAACCCCTGCGTGGCGTAGCATCAACAACGTGAGCAAGTCACATGGAACGTTAACATCCCCCCCCCACCCCAAACCGCCAGCCCCCAACAGTCATCTGGCCTCTCTCATCCTGACGGGGAGGATAGCCCAGTGCAGCAAGGTCAGGAATTTCTGGGCTAACCCCCCCCCGTCTACCCAACATGATGCAATACGAAGGCATCTAATCCAAACAATGTTCTATAATTCTCTACTTCAAGAGTGTTATTGCGGACACTTACGGACCAGTATGGTTTGACTTGGCTTGACTTGATGTGGATGATCTTCACATGAAGAATGCCAGCGCGTCGTCAAACTATCGAAGTCCACTTTTGCTTGCATCGCTTCGTTGCAAACTTCAAGTAGCAAGCCATTATGCAGCTTGTCAACAGACACTACAGGCTACAGGCTCAGTGCAGAGCTGTGTCTGTTGTGCACAGCTGCTCAAGCTTTAGAATCCTGTCAGCAAGATGAGAAGAGCTGCGAGGAAGACCACCTACATCAGCCTCGGGGATCATCTCGTCCACTTCTCATCCGTCAGCTTTTCCTCAGTAGCAGAATCATAGATCGCAGTTTGTTGCGCAGCACTGCAAATTCTTGCATAATGAACACATATCGTGGCATCGTATAGTATAAATATTTATATATATATATATATTAATTCAGCCGAGGAACAGAGTAAGGCACGACGACAAAATTCGAGGGTTGCCTTTGGAGGCCGAAAAGCTAGCAAGAGGGACATATATTATATTATCATCTTGACTAAATTTGCTATTTTGCAGAATCAGTACTGTAATTACTCAAAAGTATGCCCCTCAGCTCTGCAAAGCACATTGAGGAAGCGAAATGAAGATAGGGGATTGGGAAAGTTTGAAACCATTGGCTCGGCCATGATGATTTTGGCTGTGTGTTTGGGAACTCGTTTTGCGTCAAATCATTCGGCGGTCCAAGTTGGGATCAGAAAATGAATCAGGTTTAATGGGAAATTGCAAATTTTTGGAGGCTGGTGGGTTTGGCAGCGCCTCGGAAAACATATCCAGGAAACGATTTCCCCAAACAGTTGGTGCATGTTGGCCTTGAGATTAGTTTTCACAACTTGGAGGTTTCCCCACTTTAAATGTTTCGGCAGCAGCTTACTTGAGTAGTACCCGAGTTATAAATATATATATATATAGATAGATATCAACTCAATTGGTAGATCATGATAGGGGTTATTTGCTACCCTTGATGTTGACGACCCAAAACTAGGGGTCAAAACTCTCCGCCCTCATCCAGCAGTCTGGTCATGACGGTCACGCCAACGACCGATACAGTAACCAGTAGTCATTCACAGTATATATTCCCATTCTCGTTGGATAAATTATGAGGATATCCCATTACAAAGTTGTCCATCCTTTTGCATGCCATTCTCATCCCAAATCATAATCTATCAACCAAATTTGAAAACTGAACGTCTTCCACTTACAGATGATCATCCCATTTCGATTATTGTTGATATCTTGTGTAATGACTGTAATGCTCATGGTTCCCGTTGACTCCTCGTCATACCCAATAATGTGCAAATGATGTGCAGGGCATCAAAGTCAAGCTACGTCACCGACATAGTCGGCTTCCAGTTTGTGCCATGGGAGGTCCTAGGCCACGGGAAAAAGTTGTGATTTGGAGCATGGATAACCGAAGACATTGCCGAAGGCGAATAAATTATCATCCTATAACAAATATGTTTTTTCGTCTATCGTCATTTCTAGTCAATTCTGATCAATTCTGGCCCAATGCAAGGATTTGACCTATAGCCAAAGAAGATCTTGGTAGTAATAGTATATATGTTGGTGTTGTTTTAGTGATGAGAGGATCAATCATCACCATCACCATCAGTAAGTCATGATAGTGAATGATATTCTACTATGATTTATTTGAAAAAAACAGAACACCTTGAAGTGATGGTGGTGAAGCCACCCATCCCAAAAATACTCTCATTCCGTACGGGTGGAAAAGGAAAAATTCTGCGAGCTGCATCACCAGTCAAACTTTTTGTGATGGTTCAAGTTCATCAGCGAGCTTCTGGCGAATGGCATTGAGTCAGCTCTTATGATTTGCCGAAACTAATAAATTCTAATCCAGCATCAAACTAGTGAACTTGATGGAGATCCAATTTCAAGCCTCATCAAATTTGGACCTCCGCAACCTCCCGGGCAAAATCTGCCATGGCACAGGGCGATCTGCGCTTTCCACTTCGCATCTGCGTTCTGCTTGTCAGTCAGGACGCTGTCCTGTTCAGGAGCGTGGTCACGGCGTGGTTGTAGACAGTCACATTCCCTTCCACCTCCATCAATCCAACACGCGCAAGTAACCACACACACACACTTGCTCAG